TAATAAATAAAATAAATAAAATAAAATAAAAAGAATTAATTAACTAAATACAATTCATGATCTAACTAAAATAAGGAATGGGGTTTTACAGAAACAATGTGGAAAACAAATTAAGATCGTGAGATCTATAGAGGTGGTGAATATTATGGTAGATACACTGGTATAGGACAAGCACTTGGTCCATTTGCTAAATTTCTTCAAGAGCAAGTATTGTGGCTCAGTACACCTTGCCTGGCACACTATCTCAGAATGGTGTAGCAGAACGGAGAAATAGAACATTAATGGATATGGTACGGAGTATGCTGAGTAACTCCAAACTTCTCATTCTTGTGGATTGAAGCTCTTAAAACTGCAGCGTAATATTAAACCGAGTTCCAACTAAGGCGGTTCCCAAAACGCCATTCGAATTATGGAAAGGTTGGAAACCAAGTTTAAGTCTTTACGCATCTGGGGTTGCCCAGTTGAGGTTAGAGTTTATAATCCACAAGAACGGAAGTTAGATCCTAGGACTATTAGTGCATATTTTATTGGATATGCAGAAAAATCCAAGGGATATAGTTTTATTGTCCTAACCATTCCAGTAGAATTGTTGAATCAAGAAATGCCAAATTCTTGAAAATGATGTGTCAATGGGAGTGATCAAATCAGAGACTCAGTCTCTGAGAAAATTGATGTTCAGACAATGCTCCTACATCAAGTAAAAGATTGGTTGTTCATCCAACAGGGTGAATAATGAGGAACCACTCACATCAAAATCCACATTCTGATGCGATTGTTTTAGAAGACATTTTGAACAACCTCCAATACAAGTGGAACAACCAGTTGTGCAACAGTCTCAAGAGACTGTTGATCCATTAAGGAGATCTACTAGAACAAAGAAATCAGCAATTCCTACTGATTATGAAGTGTATATGCAAGAGTCTGACTGTGATATAGGTATTGAGGATGATCCAGACACGTTTTTACAAGCTATGAACAGCAGAAATCGAATTGTGGTAAATGCCATGATTGACGAGATGAATTCTATGGCGGATAATAAAGTTTGGGACCTTGTTGACTTGCTTACTGGAAAGAAACCTATTGGTTGTAAATGGGTATAAAACCAAAAAGGATTCATTGGCAACATTGAGAGATACAAGGCTAGACTTGTTGCCAGGGTTCACGCAAAAGGAAGGAATAGATTCAAAGAAACATTTTCTCCAGTTTCTAAAAAGGATTCTTCGTATCATAATGGCATTAGTTGCCCATTTCAATTTAGATTTACATCAAATGGAGTTAAAACAGCTTTCTCAATGGAGATTTGGAGGAAGAGGTTTATATGAAACAGCCCGATGGTTCATTTCAAGTGATGGTGGCATTTGTTTTGCAAGCTTAAGATCCATTTATGGACTTAAACAAGCCTCCTGACAGTGGTATTTAGATTTCACACTGTTATCTCTTCATTTGGTTTTGTAGAGAATGTCTGGATCAGTGTATATACCACAAGGTCAGTGGGAGTAGAATCATCTTTCTTGTGTTATATGTAGATGATATTCTCCTTGCAACCAATGATTTGGGTTTGCTACATGAGGTGAAACAATTTCTCTCTCACACATTTTAGTATGAAGGATATGGGTGAGGCGTCTTATGTCATTGGCATTAAGATTCATAGGGATAGTCTCGACATGTTTTGGGACTATCTTAAGAAGCCTATATTAATAAAATTCTTGAGAGATTTAGGATGAAAGATTGTTCACCCAGTGTTGCACCCATTGTTAAGGGTGACAAGTTCAATTTGAACCAATGTCTTACACTTGAGATTGAAAGGAACAAATGAAAACTATTCTTATGCTTCAGCTGTTGGACCTAATGTATGCTCAAGTCTGTACTAGACCTGACATCGCTTTTGCAGTTGCATGTTAGGAAGATATCAAAGTAATCCGGTTTGATCATTGGAGAGCTGCAAAAGGTCATGAGGTATCTTCAAGGGACTAAGGTTTCATGCTTACTTATAAACGTTCCGACATTTTAAGGTCGTCGGATATTCAGACTCAGACTTCGCTGGATGCGTTGATTCTCGAAAATCAACATTCGGATATGTTTTTATGCTCCCCGGAGGTGCTATATCTTGGAGAAGTGCCAAACAATCTTAGTTGCCACTTCTATCATGGAAGCTGAGTTTGTTTCCTGTTTGAGGCAACTACACAGGGTATTTGGTTGAGAAGTTTCATTTCTGGGCTTGGAGTTGTTGAGTCTATCTCTAGGCCAATAAATTATATTGTGACATTCAGCTACTGTATTCTTTGTTAAGAATAATAAGAGTGGAAGTCGAAGTAAACACCTCACATTAAGTCTTAGCAATAAGGAGCACGTTAAAGCCAAATAAGTGCTCATTGAAACACATACATACTGAGCAGATGATTGCTGATCCTCTAACGAAAGGCATGCCACCAAAGACGTTCAAGGATCATGTTGTTCAATGGGACTATGTCCCCTTTGTCACTATGAGAGGTAATACTTTCATTGTCTGAAACTTTGTAATTTAGTTTGTTTCTCTTTAAGTTGTTATACATTTTGGTTGGAGACAAACAAACATTCTAGAGGACCTAGAACAAACATTTGAGGTTTGTTCAAAAGTGGTATTCCACATTTAAGCGTTATTTAGAAAGAGTAAATTGCATTGTAATACATGGAAGTAATACTTGTTTAAAAGGGACTTACCGCTATGATTCATGTAATTTCCCCTTTCTAATTGCACATACCACATGTACATCTCTTGTGTTTGGATTATATTATACAAGTTTGGACCAAGTGGGGAATGTTAGACTTTTTACAATATGGTCCTACTTCTCATATAATTACATTTTGGTCCCTGTTGATGTGGTCATACGGTTGTGTCTCTTGAGCAGTTGTCTTTGATGGAAAGACAACTGCATAAGAAAGAGACTTTCATGTCCCCATTAATGCAATTTTTTTTATTTTAAGTTTCAAAACCATCACTCCAAAATATTGCAGTCAGTGGAAGATCTCGTATTTATAAAGGAGAAGGAGACACAACAATTGCTATGGCCAGAGGTTTGTCATTTACTTTCGCATATATTCTAGGAATAGATTTATATTGTAATTGATTGTATTATCAATGAATATTGGAATATGAATATGTTTTACAGATAGATGTTAAGAAAGAAGATTCTCTCTCTCAAGAAATTTCACCGATTTGCTTTGTCTTGATGTGATAAGCTCAGAGATAGATGCTGCATGTGCATGCATGTCAATTAAATTGAAAGCTTAGCGGACAGGCGCCTGCAAAGCCAAAAGAGCATATGGAGCATACTCTTTTATAAAGTAAACAAAAATGTAAATTCTATAGTAATGCAATGAAATCAATTTTGTCATTGTTCAGAAAATTGAAATCGATTAGTCTCTCTCACAACCATTGCCAAATTCCTGAACTTGCAATCCTGGAATGTGTCACCTTCTTTTCTTGTTAACATGGAATCCAATTTAAAGTCGAAAGAAAGTTTTCGGTGGAACAGGTGCATATGTACTTGTCAAATCATGTCGTACATACAAATCACACATTACGACGCATCACATCATTGAGGAATTTCAATGTATCAAAAGATTTCTTCCTTATCCTTTGCTCATTTCACCACTAGACATATACTTACATACAGGAGTTCAATGTTAAAACTCTACAAAGACATATCATGAGCATAAGTGATTACAATGATGATCATATAAATCTAAAAAATGCAGGTCAAATTATTGATGAGAACATGTGTAGTTGTGTAATGCAATATCACCGAAAGCAACACAGTGTGTCAAAGTGGGCACCACAGTTTCATGCACTGCAATCAAAAGGGGATGATCCAATTATTTTCTCTCCAATACTTGGTGATAGAGATGTGGTGTTTACTCCACTTTCCTGCTTTGGTCATTCATTTTAATGCTTAATTTGGGTTACCGTAATTAATAATTGTTAATCTCAAGCTAATCATGGTGGATTTAGCAGGCTTGCTGAGAGATAATTGTTATTAAGTTAATTTAGTGATCACATTATCATGATATGAGATAGAAGAAAAAGCAATCGAAGCAAATTATTTGAGTGCACACTTGTTATGATAAGCTTTTGAGTAATTGCTTATAGCACCATTGTTGTTATGATGCTAGCGTGCATTTGACAAATCAAGTAGCCTGCAATTAAATATATATATAAATTTCAGAACCTTTCTAATAAAAAAACTTAATTTTGACCCCAAAATTCTGGAGTTTCTATTTATCTGTTTACTGCAAAACAAAGACTCAAACTTGCGGAATTTTCCAAGTTTCATTTGATATACAAAGAAGTAAGAAATGAATTTGATGTCATTGAATAAAAAATTTTATTAACTTGAATGGTAGCTTGTGCAATTTGTAGTCAAAGGGACAATTTACTTCCCTTTCCTAATAACGATGCGCCGAATCCGTGGGGCCAAACTCCAGGTTTTTACAATTGCTTTTACTTTGTTTACCAGCCCAAACAATAGTGTAATGATATGAAAATGTCATCCACTCTTGCTTTTTCTTTTGTAGTTTCTTGATTTTCACCAATTTCCCACCTATAAATTAGCATGGAAACCAAGCCAAATGACACCACTCACACAAACACAAACACACAAGAGCATCTAACCATCCAAACTTAAGTGAAAATGAAGGCATCAAATGCAGCAATTTGCACTCTTCTAGTGCTGATACTAATGGCTGAAGCACAGGTTTCAAAGGCAGTGACATGCAGCCCAACACAACTGAGCTCTTGTGTGAGTGCCATCACATCTAAAACTCCACCATCTAAANTGGGGCCAAACTCCAGGTTTTTACAATTGCTTTTACTTTGTTTACCAGCCCAAACAATAGTGTAATGATACGAAAATGTCATTCCCTCTTGCTTTTTCTTTTGTAGTTTCTTGATTTTCACCAATTTCCCACCTATAAATTAGCATGGAAACCAAGCCAAATGACACCACTCACACAAACACAAACACAAACACACAAAAGCATCTGACCATCCAAACTTAAGTGAAAATGAAGGCATCAAATGCAGCAATTTGCACTCTTCTAGTGCTGATACTAATGGCTGAAGCACAGGTTTCAAAGGCAGTGACATGCAGCCCAACACAACTGAGCTCTTGTGTGAGTGCCATCACATCTAAAACTCCACCATCTAAACTATGCTGCAGCAAGATCAAGGAGCAGAAACCTTGTCTTTGCCAGTACCTCAAGAACCCGAACCTGAGGAAGTTTGTCAACACTCCAAATGCAAGGAAGGTTGCCAGCACTTGTGGCACTCCCTTCCCGAAGTGTTAGATTTATTACCGTTTGTAACCTTTGAAGGTCTTTTCTTTGCATTTCTCTCTGCTGCATGCACCTTGTTACATAATCTTAAGAGAAGAGAATATTGGAGAGAAATTAAGATAAAATATTATTATTAGTATTGTAAGTCTGGTGTGGTGGTACATCTAAGTGTAGTAGAGGCATTTGTGGTTATTCTCATTATGTTTTGAGTCATGGTGTCTCATGTCACCAGTGTCAGTCTTTGGTGTGGTTCTGTTGTATACTAGCAGTTGTTGCAATGGCAGTATTTATAATGAAATTTAATTATCAGTGTCGTCTCTAGTATCTCTTGTTATGTCTCGAATCTGAAAGACTGAATAGACAAGCACCTATGGATTTTCATACTCCACTCACATATGAGCAAGTGATGCAGTAACATAATAGAGTCTCAAATGCTCATATAAGACACATAGCAGTGAAAAACGAAACACCAAGAAGCATCCTTAACTGCCTTGCTCATCTAAAGAAGTCTCAAATGCTGATGAACAGGTACTATGTAATCCTGAAAGAATTGCATCAAAGTCAAACAGCCATTTTCCGCAACTCTTTCGCTGATCAAGAATGATTACTATCAGATCCTTGCTATGGTTTCAAGATCACTACTTATTATTTAACTATAATAGATCTAAAGAATTATATCCGTATATGTTAATGCTAAGTTTGGAGACACCTGGCCTGATTAATCTGTTGCAATTTGCACATGAGCATCAATGCTTCTAACTGATGAAAAGATTGGTCAGATGATTGATAAAAGCATAAAACTGCATTCTGGCAACAGATTTCGAACCAACATTTAACAATGTCACATCTGAACTAGGTACAGTCAGCATCATAATCCAGTTATTTCATAACATCTAACTCTTTTCAGGGAGAATGAAGGATTCCTTATTAGCTCAAGAATAAATTACTTGGTTAACATATTGTGACCAATATGAGGTTTTTATGAACATGAATGAATTCCCAATGTTATAGAGGAAGAATAATAATGCACAGAGTTAAACACGAAGCATATTAGTAAAGTTCCCACAAGCACGAACCTCAGAAGCTAGGAGAATAGATTACAAGATTTCAGATGAAAAAACAAATGAATTGAATTCTATTATTGAAATTTGAAGATTACAAAAAGAACTAATGTTCCCATCAGTCACGCCTTGACGAAAAGAAATAGAAATTCGGAGAAAGACCTCCGAATTCATTTACATGTACAAAATGGGAAATACTTACAAAACGGAGAAAACAAAATGTAGTTTCTCACAAATGTAGAAAGTTTGAAATAGGGTTCCAGCCCATAATCCATGGCCTCTTATCTGTTGGTAAAGCAAAATTGAGCTCAAACATCTCCTTAGGCATGTTGCCACCTTCACAAAATCCTACAAGCTTTGCCACTATCTCAGCACTCTCCTGTATATGCTTGGCATCATGAGGATCTGTCCAAAGCTTGTTTACAAACTGCAGCTTTCTCTGTTTCCCTTCAAGCGGGACATTCCATTTAATATACAATGAATCTCTCTCCTCCTCAGTCAAACGCGAGGTCAACCTCTTGGCTAGGAACTCCCTTTCACGCCTCAATGCTCTAATACTGTAAAGTTAGAACAAAATAGTTAATAAAATTTCTGATTATGTTGAACATCCAAAAGAAATCTGGATATTCCTTCTCCAATAATTTTTCCATCAAGCAAAGATCATACCTTGATGCAAGAGAGATGGTGTGTTCGCCTCCCACATGAGCTGGGCTTGCATTTCCTAGTTCTGACAAATGCTGCTGCAACCAAGTCAGGCGCCTAAGCTCCACTTCCATGTATATTTGATCAGCCGGATCTCCCTTGAATAACAAATAAAACTGTGTCCTATGAATGATGGAGACAAAGCAAACATCCCATAACTCAATTATAAGCTGTCTTTGCTCCTTAAAAGTTATATGCCATGCAACTTGGGGTTCCTGTGGCTCAATTGTATTCTCTTCATCCTCCAAATTATATCCAGCTGCTTCATTTGCTTCCATCTCAAGCACCTAGAGGCATCACAAGTGCAGTTCTTTAAGTATATGGAATGAAAATGTAAGAATAAATTGAAATATAATTGATGTTTACAAGAAAGCAATTACATACCTGGCAAACAAGTAGCTGTTTTTGGTATTGCAGTTTTGCCACACGTTCTTTTAGTTCTGTTACATATGCTCTTATGCTTCTTACATTCTCCTCAGCTGCATTCTGAAACATCTTCTGCATTTTCTTCATATTAACTGAACGCTGATAACCTGGAGTGCCTTCCTTTGATGATACATCTCCACCTTCCTCACTCTTTGTGGGAGTCTCTTTCTCATATTCTTGCAGGGTCTCACAGGATACCATGTCATCATTCTCTGGAGCTCTATTTTCAATCTCAGAATCCAAAATTTGCCGAGATGTTGATAGAGGAGAGCAAGGAGATTTTATAAAATTTTGCCGATTGACAACATTACTTGCAGCTAGAGGAAGTAATTTTTTCTTCTTTGATTGGTTCTTAGCTTTGGGAATCACTTCACTGTCAGATTGTTGAATATTATTGCTTGGAAGAGACATTACTAATTTATCTATAGACTTCTGAACATTTTCCAGTTGCTCCTCAAGATCTGCAATGGTGCTGCCCTGTGAATGAAGTCTTGTTATTTCTTCTTTGAGGTTAGCACTAACACTTTTATTAGGAGCAATTACACTTCCAACTTCAACTTCTTTTGGATCTGATCGAACAGAACGCATTTCCCTTATTTCTGCTTGCAGTTTCGCAATTGTCTCGGCTGCATCTTGATTACCCAGTCTGTGACAAGCTACTTCCTTTTGAAGCACTTCAAGAGCTCGGTTGGCTTCTTCTCCTAGCTGTTCCTGAAGGTGTTCAAGCTTGCGGATCTCATGCATTAGAGTGAAAGGAGCAGCTGATGATTGCCTCATGGACTGCCTTAATATCGCTTTCCTTGTTCTCTCACCACGGCCAAGCTCTTTGCCATCAAGTTTTGGTGACAATGCATCAGAGTAAGAGAGACACTTCTTCACTGATGGGCAGGGCAACTCTACTGGGTTTAAAGTCTGAATCATTATTATACAAAAATGAATGAGTAAATTGCAATTGAACAGGAGAAGGGGAGAGAGTCTGAGACACACAGAGAGAGGGAGAGAGAAACCTGCTGGTCTTCCTGAAGCTTTTTACGTAACTCATCCACCTGAGATTGCGCCATATCTCTTTGGCGTCTTAGTTCTTCCATTTCCATCTCCATCTAGACATGATAATAACACAATAAGAACTCAAGTATTAAAATTTGTTACTATTTTAGTACTGAATCAAGGCCAAACCAGCATGGCAATTTTACCTGCTGAATTTTCAGATCTTTTTCCCTTGATGGATCAGGTGTGCGCAGCTCTGCTTCAAGTCTTGCTACTTCTTTCTGCAAATGTTTCACTAGCTGCTTGTCCGAAACAACCTAATAAAATTTTCAACAAAAAAGGTTAAGTTAATACGAAAGGCTTTATTTGCAATTCTTTGGAAATACTAAAACAAGGAAAGAATATTGAATTAATACCATGTTCACACGTGCATTATTAGTCACTTCCTTTGCTCGGGTGGCAAAAAACAGAGTATTTCGAGATTGCTCAAAATGGCTTAGAGCTGGACTTAAAGTGCATATGATGGCAGTACGTGCATTCCCACCAAGAGAGTGTTGTAATATACGAGTAAGCTTCGAGTCTCGATAGGGGATATGGCCACTTCTTTTTCCAACACTGCAGATAGAAACAGTTCACCAACAAAAAGGAAACTCAATTAATTGCTTCAAAAAAATAATATCAGTGTCACTGCAATTTAGAAAAATTCTCATTCCATTACCATCACTCAATTTTTATCAACTAGAGGAATAAAAAATTTCAATGGGAGATTCTGACCTGAGCTTTCTGATTACAGTAGTCAGAGTCATTAAACTGAGGTTAATATGGCAGCCTTCCCTGAGCCTAGCGCCATCTGTTTGTGTCTGTGAGGCTCGTTCACTTCCGGCTAAATCCACAAAGTTCTGCAAGTCATTGATCCAACAGTAATTGATCAGAAGAGATCATAATCAAACAATAGTATATTATAAAGTTCAAGATTTCATGATTTCTTACCAAGCTTGCAACAAAAGATCTCACACAATCTGAATTTTCTCGGAGAGTACTTTCTATAGTCTGCATACAATCCATTAACCTCACATAAGTTATTCTTGGAAAATTGTGATCTTCATGTAATAACAGAAATAACAATACATAAAGCTTACCAGCCTTAGTATTTGGTGTGACCGAGAGCTAGTATCATTTAGGGCAGTTTCACCAACTTGCCTTTGGGCTACAATATACAATAACAATTAGTCAACTATTTAGCAAATTCTGGAGCCGACAGATGATTCAAATCAAATTATAGCTTCACCAAATTACCTTCACAAATACTGATCAGATGCCTTAAGTGCTGATCGTTATTTACTCTTTCCTCCACCAACTTCTCAACCACAGTGCCTTTCTATAAACAAAGATTGCAAAAAATACAATGAATGAGAGGAATAAGCAGGAAAAGGGAAAATAAAAGTTACAAGCAGAAGCACTTCATTAGTACAAGTAAAAAAAAAAATTATAGAAGCAGTACCTCTGGATCGTCTAGAAGCTTGAGATTGCGGCCAGATTCTGAATTTAACAAGTCCCTGACATTCTCATTGTAGATTTCTAGTCCAGAAATCTTGATTGTAAAATCTCTCTCCGGGGTCTGGATTTTAACCCAAAAAATAAAACATGATCAACTTACGGACCACACAACCTTCTATTGATGCAATCCAATCACATTATTATATCAGATTTTAAAAAGCCTATCTTCATCTTCTATCAACCAAATTAGGTGAAAAAAACAATATTATATTGTAACAAATCTTACATTCATTATATGGTTGTAAATGTCATTAACAGCTTTCTCTGTTATTCCTCTCATGGTATATGTCTTCCCACTGCTGGTTTGCCCATATGCAAATATGGTAGCTGCAATAACCCAAAAGCACATAAATTAATTTGGTAAGAACCAACTAAACAACACGTTCAAATAATGAAATAAGGTTATCCAGCTCATCACCATTAATGCCCATCAAAGCAGACAAAGCAACATTCTTTACTCCTTCATATACAGTTTCAGTTAAACAGGAAGGCCCAAATACTTTATCTGCAAGACCAAAAAAATATCAATCAATAAAATTAACCGAATGCAAAAATCCCGGTAAGATCAAGCTATTCTAAAAAACAATATCCCGGTGACGTTACCGAATCTCTATGTTAGTGCCAAAAAACTCACCAAATGTAAAAGAAGCCGGTTGGGGCACGCGTTCTTGAGGCGATGGTTTATGCACAATAGTGTGATCATCAACACACTCCCAAGCCACTTGATCTTTGGCTAACTGCTCCCTTTTGTTAAGAGGCCTTAACCTTACAGTAACTACAATCTTCTCTTCCCTAGCTTTTGGTCCCCCAGGCGTCGACACTGGTGTCGCCTTCTCTATCTTTGAAGCTGGGGTTCCTGGAGTTCTCACCGTCATCTTCTTCCCTACTTTAAATTATGTACTTAAAAAGAGCTGCGTAATCAAAATCAAGTTTCTAAAATCAAAATTAAGTTTCCAAAATTGAAGAACAATCAAATTGTTAGACATGACTGACAGATAAATTCTCTAAAAGGAAAATTCATAAACAAAGATTTTGATCATAAATGGAATGTTTTACAGCAACAAAATCTAAATTTGATATGTAAAAGGAAAGAAATTAGATTCAACTTAATATCCATTTCCCATTTTCTTCTAAAAGGAAAGTAAATTAATATAATCAAATTTTCATACGAAACTAACTAAATAAAAATGTAAACTTTCGTACTCACATAAAGAATCGAGTGAAATAGCGATCTGGGTGAGGTTCAGATCTGAACAGTGAGCTTGTAAGCAACCAAACAAGCACAGGGAAAGAGGAATGGAATCAATAATGGAGCGTGAAACAGAGAGAGAAGATGAAAAGGGGGGCTTCGATTTTGTCTTTATGAAATGAAATGAAAAGCTGTTTATGAGTGTGTGTGACCAATGGGATTTGAATTTAGGTTACCAACGGCTAGTTTTTAATTTCTCGGGAGATTTCTTTGGTTTTCTCGGATTTGCTTACGTTTCGTCATTTTATCGCGGAGAAAGCGGGTCCCAGTTTGAAGTTTTAACGGATTTGTTCTTAATTCATTGATTAATGCCGACAAAAGACAAAAAGAAGAAAAGAATAAATTGCTTCCAAGGGCTTGGGCTTCTCAACAATTGAATTTCGGCCAGTAATTGAGTATAAAAGTACTAGGATTTTTTTTTTTTATTGAAATAAATTCATTTTTAAAAACATTGTAGTCCTTTTATATTAAAAACCAAATAAAATATTTTTCCTTAATTTTATTGGAATGAGATTTTGTTTCAATATAATAAAATAGGTAAGGTACATAACACCATATATATAATAATTTAAACTACCAATATGTTCAATAGTTCTTTTTAGAAGGAAAAAAGAAAGTTTAAATCCTAGGCCACTGAAATTTTTTTTTTTTTTTTTTTTTTTTTTTTTGTAACTAAGGTATCCAAATTAGCTTGCACGTATCTCAACTAATTCTCCGAGTGTATTGAATACCTTAAAGACCAAGTAAATTATAATGTTATAGGTGATCCCAACGATTTGAACCTAAAAACTCATTGAAAGGAACAAATCTCCTTAATCGTTAAACCAACCCTTTAAAGTTAGTCATTGAATTCTAGTACATGCATAATGTATATATTACATTCACTAGTCAATTGTCATAAGTTGAGTGAAAGATATTGAATATCTTAATTTTATTAAGATTTAATCAAATACAAAAGGAGAAACATGCACACTGATTTATAATTTTGTATCAAATTATTCTTTATGACTTTTTTGTTGTTCAAATAAAAGTAGCATTAGATGATTATGTAATCATCTTAATAATTACATAAAATGTGCAATATTCTTATTTCAACCCAACCAATGATTTTTTTTTTCCTGTAACTCAGGTTCTAAGTTTGAAACTGAACCTACAATCTTTGAGAAGCTTGTTAATAGATAAATAAAGTTTAAGAATCAAAACCCAAAAAATATGTAGCCAAAGGAACAAGCCATATGCCATAAAAAATGTGATTGTAAACAGCCAAATAGTTTACAAGTTTCTTTTCTTCTGTTATTAACTATTAAACATCACAAAAGTTAGTACATCAAAGGGAATAACTGCACTAATATACATAGAAATCAAAATCCCAAGGACACCTATAAATGTAACTATTTTTTTTTTCTCTCATCATGACATTAATATTCAAAATCTAAAGTCCAACAAGCAAAGGAAATTATTCAAATTGGCAGACTCTATCCGTTTTTGCTTGTCTCAAATCTCTTTCGTCTTTGTTTTCTTGCTTATCTACTTCTTCCAACTACTGTAAAATTTAAGTGGCTTCCTCCGATGCCATGAACTTCCACTCTTATAATAATTTCTTTTCTTTTTCTTTTTCTTTTTTTTTTTTTTTTTTTTGGGTATTCACTTCTTTATAATGTTTTGAACTTGTGAACATTCACTTTTACTTTCAGTTTCTCTCGCATGTAACAGGAAATCCAAACCTTTACTTTCAGTTTCTCTCGCATGTAACAGGAAATCCAAACCATATAAACTCCCGCAAAAATCATGCCATCATAATCATCAAAACTTATAAGGCACTTAATCTCAGTTTGCCGACTTATTAAGCATGGAATTTTTTTTTTCTTTAATTGTTTCACAGTGAATAAATATTCCATGCAATTACTAAGTCTCATTATCACCTGTGGTACATTCCGTGTGAAGCAAAGAACTGGAAATCTGGGTGGTTGACATGAAGTAGTCTCAGCCAGTTTTCTGCAGCCTGCATGAGGGAATTAGCTAATTGATGCTCAATTACTCCATTTTGTGTCCACATTGATCCTTTGAATTTATACGAAGCCATTCCAAATATAGGTATGGAAATCTTTGGGACATCGTCAGGTTCACTAGGATTGATCATGACTGGAGCCTGGTTACTTCCGTTTCCTGTTAAAACAGGTAAGAGTTCAATTTGAAAAAAAATAGAAAACAAATCATAACAAAGTAAATAATCTAATACATCATATTATATCACAACAGAAAGCAAGATGAGTCTCCACTTGATTTTCATGTAACAAGCTCATTGACTAAACAGAGACATGCACATGCTGAACTTTCTAAAGTTTTAAATTAAAGGGTATTTGAATAGCCACTAAGTAATTAAATGCCAAAGAATGGGAAAACTGTAATTAGAATTTTGCAGCTTCCCAATGTCTACAATAAAAACGTCAGGGGCAAGACAGCAAACCATCAGGCTCAAAAGAGTAAAATCAAGTTCTTCCTTCCTCTGAAGAACTGACAATTTGCCAACATAGAAAGTTCAAAACCTCAAATCATTTATGAATAGCTACCAAAAATAATCATATTATGGATAAATCCCCATGTCAATTGTTGAGATACATACTTCCTAAAATTCAATTTGATATATAACATGCTACAATACATATCTCAATGCATATGGTACAATATGTAAGGTGTAATTCAATAATAAATGGCACCAATAATTAGGTAAATATCGTCTATATTGAATATAGAAGCAAGTTTGTCAAGCTATACCGCACTGACAATGAAATGATCAAGGGTACATAAATTACCACTACGATATCGTTTGCTAAATTTTTTGTCTGAATTTCATCGGCTGAGGCCAAGGTAATTAGTTCAGTTTACCTTCTCATTTTCTGTTCTTTTATTTTGTTTAGTTGGTTTTGTGAGAAGTTCAGGTTCATACATAGCTATTAGGCCAAGGCATTGTGGGTAAGAAATATGGCCTGGGAGTTAAAAGCTTTGACACAAAAATAGCATTCCTATCAACCATAAAAATTTCATGTCGAAATTACCTCTCAAAGGCGTGGAAAGGGAATGGTATGTCAGAAAGCAAGCATCCAAGTCTTTCAAAGTTGGTCCTGTAGGTATTCTGTATATAGGATACCTACAAAAAGTCCAGAGGAAATAAATCCATCTGTTATGTACAGCAAATAATCATATTGATCACACTAATCCTACCATGCCACAGCTATCCAACTGACAGGTAGCAAATCACAACTTTTTAATGTCTTCAGCCCAGGGAATTGGCATGCTAGATCTGATATCTGTCACAAATAATACGACAAATGAAATGAGGCAAGTAATACAGAGGTCAGACAAAAATTTACCAAATAATAAAGAAATAAGCAGACAACTTGCCTTGTCAGCTAATGGTTCACGGCTATAAGGAGTATCCTGCTCAAGATATTCAAACAAAAGGCGGCCTCGAGAACTCCCAGTTTCTCCATCATCACTAGAAAAGCCTTCTTGCATTGCGCTGTTTTCATCACTTATTGACAAACTGCCTATTCTAGAAGGGACATCATTTATTAGATTATAGGGACCCTGCTGCACATTCGAAAATTTCAAGCCTTTTTCAAATTCATAATCACTACTTCCATCACTACTTGAGTCCCTGTAGTACTCACCATCACTGTCCTCTACAGCTTGCCTGGCCATATAATCAAAGTCAAATTTGGTTAGCCTATAAGCTCTGGCATACACTATAAAAATGAAACCTATTTATCAAGTATTATGTGGAACTTGATTACTTTAATATGAATTTAGTAAACCATCACGATTGAAGATACTTCGTCAAGTATTAAGAATCATAAGATATCCTTATTTACAGGATTACAAGGACAACACAATCAAAACAAATATAATAGCAGGTTTGATATAATAAAAAAAAACCATTCTTTTAATAGCAGGTTTGATATAATAAAATAAAAACCATTCTTTCACCCCTACCATAGCTCAGTAAGCAATTATTCAAAGTAAAACTATGAAAACATAAGGAAATATTCTACTGCCCACCAGTAACTTTGAAATATGCATAATCATGTAATATCGATTATTCCAACTATTCCTCCACTTCTTTTGTAAATCCATAGCATTAGGGGAACGGAAAAAGAAAACTAAATCACCAAAGCATTTATTAACATCCGTGGCTATGGAAAGAAAAAAAAGTTTAAATTTCAAGATCGAACACTTTCCTACAATAAACATCTTCATTAACAGCAAGAGAATAAGTTCCAATCACTTTACCTACCAAAAGGAGAAGACAAAAAGAAGGATCGATTGCACGTGTAAGTCATTCAGGGCATCTATACTTATATGTCACTTCTATACTTATATGTCACTCAGGGAATCTATACTTTTGCACTCTAAGATAGCTCCAATGCCAACAACATAATAATTTAAGGTCACAAAGAGAGCTATTATTCAATTTCTCCTATCTCCACAAGCTAAGTGTCCAAATTCTCAACAGGATTCCTGAAAGGAGAAGTAGCTTGGCCAACTAAGTATCAAATCTCATCCAATAACAACAGCAATAGCTTGCCAACTATCCAGATCCAACAATTTATTATATCTAGCACAAAATTAATACTTGATATATGCACTAGCCTCCAAAACTCAAAAGCTCACCGGTGTCATGATAGAGTCTTCATTTTGCCAACTCAAATATTAGAAAACATTATCCAGTAGACTCTTATATATAAGTAAAATCATTCTAATTTATTTGACCTAACCAAGAAGCAAGGAACTATGCTTTCGGTGTTGGAAAGCTTTGATCACAATATCCATATTCAAAATTTTATAGTACTTCATTTTCCTATACCTTTTAACTAGAATATAATTTGCAAAAATTCTCACCATTACAAGTAATAAAAGATATTTTTCTCAACCCTCACCCTTCAGGTAGAAACTGAAAACTAATCTATTAAGCATTCTTCTTCAAACATAAAATTGGGGACCCTGAGAAGTAATTCTCTATGACAATGAATTTGGTCGCAAATCATAACTTGGAAAGCACCTCGACTGAACTCAACGCAACCACAGACAGTGATTGCATGAAGAACTAACTCCAAAATTAACTAGTAAATCAAGGAATGGATTAACATAAGAAAAAAAAATAAATAAATAAATAAAGAAGGCATTTGAGTTCATATAAGTCACAACTCAGACAGCTACACTTTGTGAAACATGGCTAATTCGAATGACGTTTCCTAAACTACACAACATATGGAAACTGATTTAAATTAATTGCAAATTTTGTTTTTTGACCAAATGGAGATTAACATGAAATCAATCTATTCAGCACACACAATTAACCAAATGGTTCCATGAAGAATGGCAGCATTATGCACAGTAGTATAAAGAATTATGTTTTAAAAATACATTTACCTTTTAATCCAAGATCATAATGCAATATTTCAATAAAACAATTAGAAAATGGAACAAGTCCTCACCTAGGAAAATAATTAAAAATGGAAACCAATATAATTCTTCCATTACGCAAGCACTAGAGCAGGAGAGATAAGAAGCAGGACAAATGGTATTAAAAAAAAGGACATAGCAGGTGATTAAGTATTACAAGAAATAAGACCATTACTCATCACGAGTACGAGGTCCAAAAACGTAGTCATAACCATACTTTCCTTACACATATTACGAAGACCAAACACATTATAATGACAGGAAATATCAAAAAGGAAGTATAAGAAAAGTAGTTGCAACTGACACCTAAACAGAACATATCCATATGGTTGACGTCCATATTGGCTGAAAATGTATAAATCAGCATAGATTAGACTAATACCTTGACTTAGCGGCTGACTGAGTAGATTCACCGTATAATTGGATTCCTGATAGATAAGGGACATAGTATTGAATAACACAATCACTCCGATCAAGTACCAAAGGAACTCCGGCCCCATACACACTCCATTCCTTAAAAGACTCCCACAGATCACCCAATGTGAAGTAAGGCTGAAACTCTACATCACAAGTTCTCCAACTTCTCACTGTGGTCTACATGAGCACAAAAAACACAATTTACTAAAGATCCAGAAACTGTAAACATAGAAAATCAATAACTATTCAACTTGGTTGCCAAAACGCAGGGATACAAACAGAGGAAAATAACAAGAAGAGTAAAAATTGCAAGCCAGCCTCACACTTTCTACAACTTCAATGCTTACAACTACCAACAAAATATATCTCTGTATAACCCTAAACTCGGATTAGTTAAGCCAACTCATCACATTATGCCTGGCTAAACAGAGTTTTACATTTTTAATGTCTACATATAAAGAAAAACAATTAATCAAATAATTTATCTCCACCACTGCATTCTTCAAATGAACTTGGAACCTTCTCTCTCTTTACTACACTTTCTCAGTAATTAAATTAGCATATATATAAAACAATCAGCAATTTATAAATAAAACAAAACAAAATAAAAATCAACCTTAGATAAGTACTGAGCCGGGACGGAAGGCGTGGTGAATTTCAAGAATCTATCAAGGTTACTAACAGAGACTACAGACGGTTCAGGAACAGAAACTGTAACGTCACTTGAAATGGAAGGCTTCACAACACTATCTTTGGTGTTCTTCGGTGATTGACTCTCTTTTACATCACTTTTTGCCACTGTTTGTTGTTTCTGCTTTTGGTTCTGATTCTTTCTTGCCTTCACAGGTATGTAAAACCGATCCTCGCCACGTACACGCCCGAACTGTAAATTAGTCCCCAACATACTTCCTCTCCGGAGTTGTTTGGTTCTCCAGAAAACGGAGGAAAGTACAACAACAACAATATATCTTACCCTTTCCTCTATATTCTTCTACAAATCTTTCGTTTTACTTAAGTGAAAATACAAACTCTATGAAATCAACCAGATTCAAAACTACACAAAAAAGAAGAAAAAAAAAAAAAAAAAAACTCCAAATCTTATCTAATTTTCCTGCGATTTCTCACACTTTCTCAGGAAACAAACAGAAAGAGAAATATTAAATTCGATTTTAATTTACGAAATTGTTCATCTAATTTCAATCTCAATCTAGAAACAAAGGAAATAGAAACAATGATTCCCAATGAAATGATGAGATCAACTGAAGAGAAAGAGTGAGAGAGAGAGGATTTTGAATTGGATGAATGAAGGGAGAATGAGAATTGTGTGAAGAAAGAAATGTGGGAGAAAGAGGAAGAGTGAACCAGACTGTACTTTTAAAATGAATTATTATTAAACAACTTACTGATTATTTATTTATTATTATTAATATTCATCTAATTATTGTCATTATTTTATTACTTAATTGGCTTATACTAAGGATTTTACTGCTCTACACAGAGGATTCTAATCCATCTACATGTCAATTTTTTTTTTTTTTAAAGATAAATAGGAATCTAATTCCATATGGATAATAAGAAAACAAATATAAAATTTTATATTTATAAAAAGTATATGATATATCTTTTATATGGAACTTCAAAAATAATACCATTAAGGCATAGCATTTTTTATTTTTTAAAGTTATAAAAAAAAAAATGTTTTAAAATTGATAAGATTTTATTTTAGGATTTTATCCAAAACTGAAGCAAGCCAATCAAATTTTAGGGAAAATGAAACGAAGAAGGAAAGTTTTGTAAGGTGATGTGATTGGTACTTTGGTAGAAATATTGACGAAGGAAAATGTACAAGGAAATCACACGTGCGTAAAAGAGTAGGTAAGTCACGTGCGATAAAGTTGATCAATGATCAACAACAACTCATTGATGCTACAATAAAGTAATTTCTCTTTTTTTTTTTTTTTCTTATTATTTTATTTTAATTAACATGAGTTATTTGCCATTAGTTATAAATACATTACCTACCCCCGCCGCGGGAAAAAAAAAATATAGTTAAAATTTGTTCATTTTCTACAGTTAAAATTTGCAAACCATTAATTATATTGGTAGAATTGTAATGATACTAAGAAAATTGGTGGCATCATTTTTTTTTTTTAATCAAAATCTTCAGGATAGATGAAAAAAAAGAAAATAATAGATATACACATCATACGATAATTTATTATTTATCACAAACAATGTGATTAATTTGATATATCTTAACATGAGTTGAAATTAAATAAAGCTTGATTCTAAATAATGGAATTGGGTAATGTAAGTGTCTATAAAGATCTCGAATTCTAAACGATCCCAAATATAATAAGAACAAATAGTAGATCTGATTATCCAACTAACTCTAACTATTTGATTATTTTATTGTTACGTAAAATCGTACAGAATATATTTTAAAATTTTGAGAAAAAATCGTACAGAATATATTTTAGAATTTTGAGGAAATCATAATAAATGATCATTTTTATTTTGTCAATTAAGATAAAATCAAAGAAGATTTTTGTAGGTCCAAGACAAATTTAGACCCCTCCATGAGCACAACTCACAAAGCATGGCTTAGAGTGATTGCCTTTAGCCTTTATATATATATATAAAGCGCTATAAAGCATCTAATGAAAGCTGGCAATTATTTGAGAATGCTTCACCATTTGGACCCAACTTCCCATTCATTTTCTGTTTCTAGTTTAGAGCCTGCAATTTTTGACAGTTCATTTTTTTTTTTTTTTAAATTTAATTTCTTTTAGGAGCCATCCCATCTAGGCATAAAACAAAAAATAAAGACAATTTCAATCCCCTAATTTATTAAATATATATTATCATCTTATCATGTTAAGTCAATGCCCAATCAATGGGCTGGCTAAGCTAATCCTTATCTAGTTTTGACCGATAAGTGATTTTTGGATTTTTTTTTTTTTTTTTTTTGACTGACCGCATTAACATGACTAATCTTTTAAACCTGAAGTTAATGATCGAGTATATCCTCTAGTGATCATTTCTATTAGTTACCGATCGGATATATCCTCTAGTGGTCATTTCTATTAGTTAATGATCGGATATATCCTTCAGTGGTTATCCTTAACTATTTAATAACCGATGTTACTCAAACTTATGGTAGATGTTTGAGACATAAATAAGTATTGTTTTGGTTTAGGAGATTAAATATATTTATTTGTTTATTATATGATGAAACAAAACCACAAGCTTTAGCATATAATGTTTTGAAAAATGAATTGGATTAGTTGACTATTTGACTTGAATAGTTGAACACAACTAATGCAGACTCATTTGTTTCCAAAAACATAAAAAATACAGTTAGGTTACAGCTTTGAATGCATATGATATTTATATTTTACCAAATAAATTAATTTGACCCTAAAAGCTGACTTGATCACTGTTCAGCCTTTGACTTAAAACTAATCTATTATTTATAAATATAATAATTTAAACTATATGGTAACTTTATTCTATTCTTCTATAATTATAAAATCACAATTAGGTAAAGTCAGATAAAGGTGCATAAAATAAGACATATTAATGCTATGTGATAAGAATATCTCAACCAAATTTTTTCTTAATGATGTGATTGTATCAAATCTAATCAATATTACTCATTAATCAACCTAATTAAGAAAAATTCCCATTGGTTTTTCAAATGAAATTGGTCTTAGAAAGGGAAATTAAGGTAAGTCCAAAGTCCAAATCAAGATGGAACCCACCAAGCTAGTTAGCGGTAGAAAAATGAGTGGGCCTGGTGGCCCAATTAAATTTTGGCCATTTTGGACACAAAAGGAAGATAAGGACATTTGTTAATGGTTAAAAATTGTGCCCAAAGATTGAGAATTGATAGATGCGATTGAAAGTTTTGGTGTATGAGCTGTTTGTGTGTTTTTGGAATTTCTCTATCTATTGTAAGGGTAAATGTAACATCCTAATCCAATTAGCATATTCCAAAGTTTAATTCAAGAATAATTCCAAGTGACACACTAATAAGTTAAAATATTCTCTATCAAATTGTTTGGGGGCATCCAGGCCCAAAAGATAAGGCCAAATTAGGAATTTTGGAAAATATGACTTAGAGAACAATAATTTCAAGAACAAGATTATACTTTCTACATGTCATATCAAAGTAATGTGACATGTGAGCTCACATAATATTAAATAATGTGAATTTCATGCCAAATTTGTTTGTTCAAACTTTTTTTTTAAAGAGGATTTAAATAAATAACTCCTTCCTAATTTCAATGACTTGGAAAAGACGACGGGATGGAAGAGCTACCGTTTTCATGAAACTTAGGCCATTTGTCTTGTAAATAATCAATTCTCGATTAATTACATATAAACTACTATATAATATGAGTTATAGACTCTAAACTTGAAATTCAATATTAAAAAATCACATCTAATTTTGAAATATTTAAATATATTACTATATGATACAAAAGCGTTATTAATATATTATTCAATGCACTCAAAGATTTAATTGTTCTTATGTACTGACATTTTAATTTCTTTTAAATTCATAAACTTTAGTTTTTAGTAAGATTAATATGATCAATATCAGTTAAGTCAACATCTGATTAGAATATTCCAGACTTAATTAAAGAACAATTTTATAAAGGGCACACTAATAAGTCAAAAAAATTCTCCATCCAATACTTTAGGGCATAAAGACCCAAAAGATAGGGGCTAATTAAGAATTTTCTAAAATATGAAGAAAGATAAAAAATTAGTGATATCATTTGCCATTGTGGCACCTAACAAATATTATTATTATTACTATCAAAATAAATTTGAATCCTGCTGATTTTCTAAAATTATCTGACGTGCCAAACTTCTTCCTATGCATAAAATGTTATCCAACAGGAAAATAATTGAGCCAAAACAATTTATTTTCTTTTAAGCTCAATTTTTATGTTGAAAAATTAAGATAAAAGAATAAAACAATTTTAATGATTTGGGTTGTGTATTATGAGCCCATATATTTTATACCTTTGGATGTCTCTAACTAAAACACAAAGCCCAGGATGGATAATAACCCAAAATATCATGCTTACTAATATTTGATTTTCTCCAACATCTTATGAATTAATAAAAAAAAAAAATTGATTATATTATTTATATATTTTCAAATTCTAATAATCCTTAATGATGAGTGAAAATCCAATATATATGTTTGTTAGAGTAACTTAGTAAAAGATTAAAAAAAACAAGTGGCATTGACATCCCAAAGCAACAATTTTCAGTTGTTTAATTAATCGGATACACAATTAATTGCTTCATGAATAAATCTTCAACGCATGAACTAAAATAATTCATTATATATTCCACAAATATTACCATTCACTGAATGGTAATATTTGTGGAATATAATTCACTATTCATAAAATCACAAATTTCCCATGGAAATATATAGCGTTTGTGCTTGTATGATATTTGAAAAATCATAACACATGCATAAATAAATATTTGATTATTATTATTATTTTTAATTAAAATCATATATCACGTCGTTTATGTTAATTAATTTAGCAAGATTAATTTAGTAGTTAGTAGAGATTGGATCATGAAATAGAGATACTAATAGTATAATTTCTATAGCGTAACAAGAAAAACAATTTTAAACCCCAAGGAGTAAGGGTGTTCATAACCAGTTTACAAATTTTCTGAACTAAACCGGTTTTTCGGTTCAGGAATTTTCCTCAACCGAAACTGAACTAATTAAGGAGAAAACCAGTTTCTCGTTAACCGGTTTTGAACCGGATTTCCCTTTAAACTTTTTTTTTCTTTCTCTAATTTAACTTATTTTTTATTTTGAGAGGGAAGAGAAAAGTGAAAATCGGTGAGGACTAAGGAGAAATGTATGTGTTTGTGTGAAAAAAAAAGAGGAGAAATGCGTAAAGGGCGAAGAGTAAAGAGAAAAAGATTTGGGGATTTAGGGTTTTTTAATTTTAAAAGTGAAAACTGGTTTTAAAATTTCTTTAAACCGGTAACGGAACTAAATTCCCAGATTATGTATTTCCTTGAACCAAAACCGAATTGGTTTTTCGGATAATGGGAAAATTGGTTTGGCTCGGTTTCTGCGTTTTTTTGAACACCCTTACCAAGGGGCTGACTTAGCAGTTTAGAATATTTGCTTCATTTCTTAATTTCATGGGTTCAAACCTTGGAGTTACCTACCATAATAATATTGTAGTTTACCTGGTCCTTTATGTAAGGTATTCAATGAACCCCAAGGATTAGTTAACATGCGCGCAAGTTGGTCCAAACATTCCGGTTAAAAATAATAATAATAATAATAATAATAATTTTAATGAGAGAAC